TCGCAGGAGCACCTGGGTTCGGACGAGTTCTCTTGCGGCTTTTCGCTGAAGCAGGCAGCATCGCCGTCGCGCTAAGCGCCGGAAGTCCCAAGACAATCACCCTCTTAACCGGAGCAGGAGGTCCCAGAATTGTAACTGGATCAACCGCAGTGGGAGCTGCAACCGGTTCAACTGCGGCAGGAGTCGTAACTGATTCAACGGCGGTAGGAGCCACGACCGGTTTGATCACGGCTGGAGACACGACTGACTCTATCATGGTGGGGGCTACAGCTAGTCCGACCTCAGCGGAAACAGTAACGTTTTCGGCTGCAAGGAGGGGCGAAACAGCAGGCGCATTCGACGGTTCAGTGGCAACACCCGCCGAGGAGCCCACTACTGCATCCTCCGTTTCGTCCAAAATAGCCTTGACTTCTCTTGCAAGGACGGACGAATCCACTAGGGGTACGTCGCTCGACACGGCATCTTCCTCAGCGTCGCTACGATCCATCTCTTCTTGAAACAAGAGAAACTCGGAAAGCCAAGTATCCTGCGGATATGCCGGAGGATTGTCACTGGATGGGACCTCACAGTTTTGCTGATCACCTTGGGAAGAAGACATCTTAAGAATTTTTCTAGAGAGAAGTTTGAGAGAAACTTGAAAGATTGAAGATATGAGAAGTAATGATCCAATACTTATAGAAAAAGGAGAGCTCTCCCTCGTAATAAGACGAATCTCAGCCGTAGATTCCGATTAAAACCTAACTTCATCCGACCGCAAAATTTCCTCAAGAAATTGCGGACTGGGGGGCGAACTGTTGGTGTCGAAAACCGTACTCTCGAAATCAACGTCTGCGATAACTTCTGTAAAAGGGGGATCATTACTTTCCGCAAAAGTGATTTTATAAAACTCAGAGATCGTTTTATAAACGTCGAGAATCGTTTTATAAAACTCGAGAATCGTTTTATAAAACTCGAAGAATCGTTTTATAAAACTCGAGAATCGTTTTATAAAACTCGAGAATCGTTTTATAAAACTCGAAGAATCGTTTTATAAAACTCGAGAATCGTTTTATAGAACTCGAAGGATCGTTTTATAAAACTCGAGAATCGTTTTATAAAACTCGAGAATCGTTTTATAAAACTAGAGAATCGTTTTATAAAACTCGAGAATCGTTTTATAAAACTCGAGAATCGTTTTATAAAACTCGAGAATCGTTTTATAAAACTCGAAGAATCGTTTTATAAAACTCGAGAATCGTTTTATAAAACTCGAGAATCGTTTTATAAAACTCGAAGAATCGTTTTATAAAACTCGAAGAATTGTTTTGTAAAACTCGAGAATCGTTTTATAAAACTCGAAGAATCGTTTTATAAAAATCGAAGAATCGTTTTACGAAACCGCAAAAAACCGAAACATCCGTAAAACGTGAACTAGTCACGACTAGTTCGCCCATGGGCGAACTAAGCCGGCCCGGCTTAGTTCGCCGATGGACGAAATAGGAGACACTCCACTAGTTCGCCCATCGGCGAACTAAGCCGGCCCGACTTAGTTCGCCGATGGGCGAACTAGGGACACTCCACTAGTTCGCCCATCGGCGAACTAGGAGTCCCTCAACTAGTTCGCCCATCGGCGAACTAAAAACTTCTCGGATATCCCACGCCTCGATCTCCCGCATCCCCGATTCAAAACTTACGTCTTTCGACACGATCACATTCTAAACTACGGCTAAAACATCTCTCGTTCCATCTCGATCCGACTTACCGTTCGAGTTTTACGATAAAAACCGTAAAACTTCGCTTTCTCGGAAAGAACTCGAGGAAATCATATAAACCGGCAACGGTTAAACGAAACACCGAACATTGCCTAAACTATACGATTTATTCGAGATTTCTCGTTAAAATCATAAAAACGCGTTTTTAATAATAAAAAAACGCCGAGTAAGTCGTAAAAAACGTGTTTTTAATAAAAAGTCGAGTAAATCGTAAAACCTTGCGATTAACTCGAGTAATTTATTAAAAACGACGTCAGATCAGGAAACGATCCCGTAAAAAGTCGGAAAACGGTTTTTATCACAAAACGGCCCGGAAGGACCTAAAACGCGATAAAAACCCATCTCGGGATTTCAATGGAATCTAACCCGCAGATTTGATAACGTTTTGACGGTTTATTCGCAGAAGGAAAATAAAGGCAAGTTTGAAGATAAATAGAAGACTTCCGCGGAAGAAAAGGAAGAATCGAGAAAAATGGAAGATTCCCCAAATACTCAAATCCGGCAAAATGGAAAGATCAAACCGTCAAGGCAAGGAGTATATAAACCAGAGGCGTAGGGCATAAGAGGGGGACGAAATCAGACCTAAAAAGACGGCTGTTAGCTTAGGAGTTTAGAACTTAGCGTTTAGACTAGCAATTCAGATCCTTAGAACATTTCGACGTCTAAGTTCTTCAATTCTTCTTGTAACAGTTGTCGATTCTAATTTGATAAAAGCTTTCGCACAAGTTCTAATTCTCTGTTCTTTATTGTTCGTCCATATTCTTTCGAATTCGTTTGTTTTAGTGATTTTCGCAGAGATCCGGGACCTCGGGAAAATTAGGGTTTCACCCTAAGTTTCCATATTTGACGGAAAATCGACAGTGTGAATCTCGATTCCCACAGTTTGGCGCTAGAAGGAGGGGGGGTCGGATTCCCACGATTTTTATAAAACGATTCTCGGGTTTTATAAAACGATTCTCCGAGTTTTATAAAACGATTCTTCGAGTTTTATAAAACGATTCTTCGAGTTTTATAAAACGATTCTCGAGTTTTATAAAACGATTCTTCGAGTTTTATAAAACGATTCTCGAGTTTTATAAAACAATTCTTCGAGTTTTATAAAACGATTCTTGAGTTTTGTAAAACGATTCTCGAGTTTTATAAAACGATTCTTCGAGTTTTATAAAACGATTCTCGAGTTTTATAAAACGATTCTTCGAGTTTTATAAAACGATTCTCGAGTTTTTATAAAACGATTCTTCGAGTTTTATAAAACGATTTCTTTTATATTTTCTGCGGAGAATTTTTGCCATTGATTCCGTTGTGACCGATTTTGACACCAACAGTTAGCCCCCCAGCTCGCTAGAATCTTGATCCTTTAGCGTAATTTTCTTGCGAGTGGTTAGCCAATTTTAGTTAAGTTAGGCGGAATTAATGGTTAGAAAGGTCCATTGAAAGTGATCTTTCCATTCTCCAGGGAGCGGAAAGCGTTTAAGATTAGGCATGCGCCTTGTGAAAGCTGCCTACGTACCCTTTTGAGGGGATCAAGCCTTTCGTAGTTCGTTTCGGATAATTTAATTTGAGATCTATGGAAGAATCAGATGTCGTGAGAAAGTAGAAGAAGAAAGAGATAATAAGAAAAAAGAAAAAAAAGAATAATTGTATCCCTTAGATTAGGATCTATCAACGGTAGAGATTAGTAGTTTAGCTATCCTCACCACTCTTAATTGGCTTCTCTCATTGGTCGAAATGTTTTAGTGTATTTTTCCTTTTTACCTTTTTTTTTTTTTTTTTTTTTGTGGGCTCCTTTTTTACCTTTTGTTTTATCTATTGTTCTTGTTTTAAAACAAACAAGTTTTTCTATTGTTCAATATTTTAATGACTTTTGATTTATAATTTTTTTCTTATAAATATATGTTTGATATAAAAAATAGATTTTATAATTTATACTTTAAATTTTAATTTTAAAATTTTGTTAACTAAAATTAGAATTTTGGAATAGGATTAGGTTATGTATAATAAAGATTAAAGTATATGGTTTAAAGTTTATTAAGTAGAATTGTGGTTAGATTACGATTTAAGGTAGATATTTGAAAAACAAATTTAGAAATTTATAATTTTTTATAAGGAATATATTTTAGTAAAGTAATTAGATTACTAAAGTTTTTGGTCCAATGTCTTTAAAATTGATGTTTGATAAAAAAATATTTTTATAATTAATACTGTAGTTTTATAAATCTGTTAATTAATATTATAATTATTGACTATTAGTTTACGTAGTTGTGGTTAAGTTTAAATTGTATATGGTTTGAATTTTTTGAAATAGAATTTTGGTTAAGTTAAAATTTAGGATAAATATTTGAAAAATAAACTAATAAAGTTATAATTCTTATAAGGAATAGGTTTTAGTATCATTTTAGGGATTAGGATTCAGATTTAGGATCATGTATATGATTTGAGTTTTAAAATATACTTGAAGTTTTTAAGTTTTCTATTATAATTTTGTAAAGATTAGATTTAGGATTTTGTATGTAGGGTTTAAGTTTGAAAAATAAACTAATAAAGTTATAATTTTTATAAGGAATAGGTTTTAGTATAATATTTAGGGATTAGGATTCAGATTTAGGATCATGTATATGATTTGAGTTTTAAAATATACTTGAAGTTTAAATTTAAGTTTTCTATTATAATTTTGTAAAGATTAGATTTATGATTTTGTATGTAGGGTTTAAGTTTGGGATTTAGGGTATTAGATATAGGGTTTAGGTTTAGGGTTTAGATAAAAAATGTTTTTTTCTAATTTATTATTAGTGTTAGATCTTTTTATCATATTACTTTTTGTGTTATCTTTAGATTTTTTTGATGAAATATTAACACTTTCAAGTTTTATTTATTAATTACTGCTTTTAAAATCATTAAGAAATATAATTTACTTTAATAAAATACAAATAAATCATAAAATAACATGTAATTTTCCATTAAAAACTAAAACAAACAAAGTTCTTTATGAATCTACATCAAGCCTTTATAAATAGCACTTCATTGATCTTAGTTGTTTTAAGATTGCTAAGGATAAAGGAACCTCATTACTGAACCACTCAGCAATCTCTTCGGATATCTTCTGAATTTGTGATTACACATCAGAGAACTCTCTGACTTTCCCTTCTTTTTTGTTGCCACAGTTGTTCTCTTCTCATCGAAAGAAGAATTTTGACAGCATTGGCTTTTGCTATGCCTACGAATCTCTGCTCAGCAGGTGTGGAAATGTATTCACCATCTTTCTTCTGCAGGATGATCTTCAGTAGAGACTGCTTTATCCTGGCCATTGACCTTGGTTAAGGGATTCTGCAAATATTAACATAGCAGCAGATAATGACTGACCATATCAAAAGCACTGAAAATGCAAAGAAACATAAAAAAGAAACGGTACAAGTGTATATCACTCTTAGCACAATTTTGTTTATCACTCTTAGCTTTATCACTCACAAGACACCTAGCATTATCAAACGTATTTACGGTAAATATACCTCTTGATAGACAGAGGAGATGGACTTGATAAACAGATATGAAAACAGTCCAATCTTGTTCACAATCAAAGCATGTTCATGCAGGTAATGTCTACAGAGCCTGTTCATGGCTTGAGATGTCACAGCTAACGTAAAAGGCCTGCAACTTCAGTGCAAAGAGGAGATGGTTGAGAGATTTACATGCAACTTTCGCAGTAAAGTTCCACAAGTAATTTCCCCAACAAGAGGACCTTCAGCATCGGTGACCACTGACCACCATTGTCGTGTACGCACAAGGCTTTCTGCAGAAAATATTAAAAAAAGAGACCATAACTGAACTAAGAGTATGGTACACAGAACTTGAAAGTGATACCCATTTAAGACATAAGACATCAATATAACAAAGAAGCTGATGAGCAATCAAATTCATGTAAAGCTTCGTTTTTTTCTTTCTTGACATCCATTACATACATCTATCAACGAGAAATCATAATTGTTCTTTCCTTGAGTTACATNAAAAAAAGAGACCATAACTGAACTAAGAGTATGGTACACAGAACTTGAAAGTGATACCCATTTAAGACATAAGACATCAATATAACAAAGAAGCTGATGAGCAATCAAATTCATGTAAAGCTTCGTTTTTTTCTTTCTTGACATCCATTACATACATCTATCAACGAGAAATCATAATTGTTCTTTCCTTGAGTTACATATATCTATCATTGTGAAATTAAAATCAATACAAACATAATCCATGTACAAGTTGGGTTCTTTTGTAGATCTAGATATACACAACAGACTTTTTGTTACCAACAACAAGAGAGTTATCAATGAGAATGGAACCTGAGAGATGCCAAAGTAGAAAACTTGCTTTAGTGACCGAGAGATGGTGAGAGACAGAGAGAGACAACGCCAAAGCAGAGAGGGATTAGGGGTTTCGTAATCCTTTTGTAAGTTTTAAAAGTAAGACCGCCTAAATCACCTTCTTCTATCCTTGAATCTGAACAGAACATAAAGCACCTTACGAATAAGCTTCCTGTAACAAGAACAGAAAAAAAAATCAAGGTATTAATGGAGAGCTATAGAGAGAGAGAGAGAGAAAGAGAGAGAGAAAGAGAGAGGGGGGGGGGAGGTGATTCCAGAGAGGTTGAATCGTGAGAGAGGTTCTGTCTAGATCTTGTGAATTATCACGATTCAAGGGTTGAATCGAAGAGAGAAGGTTGTTGTGACTATGACGGTAATGGTAGCCACTTCGGTGAAGACGGATCTGAGAGGCGATGGTGGTGACGAGCTATGGCGATGGTGGTGACGAGACTCCGACAGCAGCTTCTTCGTGGCTTCGTTTCCTCCTCCACTAATATTCTTAAATCTCAATTTGAGAAGAACCCAATTCACGTTAGCAACACATACAAGAACAAAAAAAAAAGTCAATTCTACCAAAACCAAATATTTTGGTGCGAAATGTGATTTTTCTTTAAGTATTTGGCGCCCCAAAAGTGTTACAGAGATAAAAGATAGGATCATTTACTTTTTGCTTCGTAAAAATCCTGCAAAATGTTGAATAACATTAATTTAGTGCTACGATAGAATAAGACATTATGATAAGTCACTTTTAATAGCAGTTTGTGAATTTGTGCTACCATGATATGCTACTAATATTCATATTTCTTGTAGTGATGACCTGTTTCCTAGCAAGACCTTTACGGTCTAGTTATATGTCGTGTAGGAATTATCGAGCATATTGATGTCGATGGCATCCAGACCTTTGCCGGCCTTGAGACTGGCCTCGTAGGCCGTTTGGCCTGGCCGAGCGTGACCGTTATAGTTTTCGGAATGGCCGTGTGCGGCTCTGAGTCCCTGCCACTTTTGTGGCTTTATTAAAAATCAGTTTGCGTTTTTCAAGAGCATGTTTTTATTCGTATGAATGTAGCGGGAAGAATATGAGTTGATATTGAGGGAGGCCCGCGAGTTGTCGTCTCGCATTCCTTTTTCCCTTAGTGTATCGCCTTGTTCGTTTGCTCGTTTTAGGATGTTTAGTAAATCGAGTGAGCGTTTAGATATAGACGAAGAGACATGCCTTTAGGATCTCGATTCATGCCTTGAGACGTTAGCGACCAGTGTGCTGGGTTTAGGGCAAGACCTAGGTTTACTTTCGGATTGANCCGGAAGTGCTGACCAAAAGTTTGGATTTCTTTTATAGCGCTATTACCCTTGTGTCGGGTGTTCGAGAGCTATCTCTGCGAGATAACTTAAGTTTGTTTAGGACTGTTGCGAGTTTGTTGTGATCAGCAACAAACTTTTTAGGCGATAAATGTTTATGTTGTTTTGGCCTTCGCGAAGGATACGTACGTTAAGAAGTTTCGCGTAATTTTATAGTCGCGGACGGACTGTTAGGTCTTCCAAGAAAATGACTTTATCGAGGAAGGTATTTATGTCAAAAAACTAATCTCCGGGCGTCTGCGATGTCTCGCAGTGCCGAAAGTTGGTTTTTATTTTATATGCCGTGTTTCGTGTTCGGAACATTTGTGGGCTTGAAGATGTTGCGCGGTGTTGTGAGGGTTTTGTTTTAACCTTGCTTTGCAGGAACACTTTGGTTCGTTTGCGGATATTCGCAATTAAAACTTACATTCCTGTTTGGATGTTAGGTAGTTTTATGATTTATGCTAGGGCAATTAGGACCGAGAGTTCGTGTAAGTTGTTTCCCCGAACGAAGCGTTTTTCGTTACGGTGAAGTGTTGACCTTCCGAGATTTGTACGGCTTTAGGAGCTCTGATACGAGTGTTTTCTTATACATCGGATTTTGTAGGCAACTTTCTTCGGGAATAGAGTGAATCGCGAAAATACAGAACTTAGCCGATTTTCGACAAGTTTGCATTATCCATTGAAAGTATTGGCTTGGCGTGAAGGTTGTGTTTAGCAGCACAGCCAAGCTCGTATTTGGTCGAGGATTAGACCACGACACTTTCGTGCTATCGAAAAGGTCGAGTCGGTTTGTAAACTTGGCATTGAAATGAAGCGCGATGGGACAATAGCTAAGTAGCGTTTGTCGAGCTTGATATTCCAATTATGCCCGTGTTTATAGAAACGTTTTTCCGTTTTATGTTTGATTTCTACGGTGAAAGTTTCGTATAAACTTTCCTCTGTATGGAAGTTGTTTTTTTTTACTCGAGGGAGACAGATCCTAAGAAGCTCGATGCAGAGCCCGTACGGAGTCGTTTGCGGGGCGGTCTCATTCTCAGATGTAAACGGGAGGAATGAGAGCGGATGCTTTTGAACCGATGGGCTAAAGAGTGAGATCTTTCAGATCGTGTCGCGAGGAGGCAAAGTTTAGATTGGCCGCCCAGTGCCGGATCGTATAGCTTGGTTTTTGCTATAAGGAAATTACTTTTCGCAAAACCTGTTACGTTTACTTTCGAAAGTTACTTCGTTATGACATGATCCTGACTATACGAAGGATTTCTCGCGTAAGCAACGGGCGATGAATTCAGTAAATCTCGACGCGACGCATTGGGTTAACAATGTTTTTGCAGATTTTTGGAGAAACCTTTCCGCTAAGTTTTTGATTCTTCGGTGATAGTTTTTTCGGAGTAACTCGTGGAGTTTTGCCAAAAGTTATTTCACCGAGATCTAGTCGCAAAATGTTTTAGCGGGTTTCTCGGGCGGAATGAATCACATGATCAGCAATAGGATCAGTCAGCGAGAAGGGAGGACGTGTTCTCTGTTGCTGCTTTGTGTTCTCGATTTTTCTTTCGCCGCAAATGTTCTTGAGATTATTCCGTGACTCACTTGGTTTGACGGAAAATGAGATCAATGCTTTGATGCCTAAGGATTTCGATTCATATACTTGTTTTATCAAGTTTGAGAAGATCGTTATGACTTTGGCAAATAATCGAGTTTCGCTCTGAAGTTTCGCAGAGATTTTCTAACCGCATGATTGCGACGAGAGATGCTGTATATTCCTCGAGATCATTTCCCAGACGGTTTGGATCAGTCTTTAGCGCTTAGACGGTTTTTAGATTGTCGTTTGCTTTTGGGATGATTTCGACGAGGCGTTGCATCGTCCGAATATTTTGCCACTTATTTTAGAAAGCGTTTTCTTGATGCGAGGAAAAATGTTCGGCGAAAGAAGAAAGACGAGTTTCGTTTGAAGGATTGGGATGATCGACAATCCGGGTCGATTAAAGACCATGGTGGATCGGAGATGATTTGGAGTATGTATGATTTACGAAAACTTCTAGGAGCGAGTCGGTTTTAAGACAACGTCGGCGTCTCTAGCTCCCTCTTTCTTTTAGGAAATGACTACGTTTGAATGCGTGGCGATCGTTTCTCGGTTGTACGAGAGATTGGATCGGTTTGCGAGTTATGCCTGAATGGTTAGAAAACAACAAATCGAGATAGGCAAAAATTGCTTACGACTTAGCATGCTAGACTATCCTCTAAATTCTAAGTTCTCTAGGTTTAACGGTAGTTTACAAGACGTTTTCGTTTCTTATCTACGAGAAATTAGAAGTCTAATAAAATTTTCAAATCTGACATACCTTAGTTTCATCGATGATTTGGGATCGTCTATTCTTCGTTCTTTGTCTTTTGACGTACCAGTCTTCGACGAATTACCAGCAAGAGTATCGGAGCGGGGAGAAGACTTAACCATCAGAGCTCATGTTCTTGTTTCTTCGATTGCTGGTTTTATTTGACCGACTAGGTGCGCTTTGTATATCAAAAAAAATCAATTACGTGTTTGTGATTGGATGTTTTTGACCTAGCGTGGCAGAGTTTCGTAAAACCGGATTGGGTCTAGAGAGTTCAGATTTCTCGTATACTTTAGGCAAATTTGGTGTTAAGTCAATCGTTGCCGTTTTAGATGATTGATTCGAACTTATACGAAGAAACAAGTCTTCACGGTTTTATCGTAAAATCCAGATAGAAATTCCGATTGAGTCGAAACGAGACTCAAGACTCGAGAGAGAAACTCGAGGATTGGTTTAGCTCGACGTAGGGCAAGTCGGGTGAACCCTTTCAGCTTGCCGTGTGGCGATCTGGATGGTAAGAACCCTTGGGGCGAAGTCAGCGTCTCTTGGGCGAGCTAGGCGCTTGCTGCGGGTGATCTCGATTCGTCGAGTTGACTT